TCACTTCATTAACAATTGAATTTATTATTACAATCAAAATTAATCATAGGAGTTGAATAAACTAGTCTCCAAGTAAAAGTAATATTTAGCCGTCCATTCAATATAGAACTGTAAACAAGAGAGTAGTAATGATCTAATAGCGGGCTCTAAAGAAGAAAATAAAACGTCTCATCAAAAGAGCCGTTCAAAGAACGTCGGCCGCCAAAACTGCTCTGCTTGTCCTTGGTTGATTATAATTCATCATTGTCGAGATTGGTCCAAAGATAGTCTGCCAATCTCTGTCACCTCAACACGTTTTCAACTAGACTTATGGCCTCTTACCTGGTACAATATCCTTTAAACATTTCCGATATTCAGATTATTTATACGGCTCTTTTAATTTAATCTTTCGGATTTGTTTTAGCCAAGCGTTTCACTATTGAAAACTAATATCAGTAGAATGTGAATGAGAAACGGAAGGGTACAATCCTAGGTTAAACAAGTAACAATATAAGATAAAACTGGTGTTATAAATTGGATTTAGATTTGTTTTCATCAGTAAAGTGTAAGTATTACTATTTAGGCTGGAATGACAATGAAACATGTCTGTGTACCTTTTGTAAAGAAACGACTCGAACTAAGACGCATGCGTAATAAAAGAGGGAAWATACCCGACAAAGGAAAGTAAAAAAAGGTTCCAAAAAAGATGCATTTCTTAGAAAGAAAAAAAAAGATTTGGCTGAAAATTTTTTTTCACAATTCTATGCATATTTTAATMTTTAAACAACACTATTCCTTTTTATTGCTATTTGTATTGATTATACTATTCAATAAACGTCAATCAAGTTTTCCTAAAAAAGAAAAGAAAATTCAAGTTGGGGATTTATACCTAACGAAAACAAGTTACTATAGTTTTCCTAATAGATTGGATCAATGACCCAAACATTTTTACAATTTTTGAAGAAAAAAAAAATCACCAGCTGAAGGTGAAGTTATTATTACACAAACCATGAAGACTATGGGAYATGAAATGATCGTTCGAGATGTTTATTTTCAAATTGGACTAATGAACGATACAGCAAAGCTCTGTCGCCATTCTAACACCTTTCATTGCAAATCGAATCAATCAAGGCACGTTGAGAATTTAGTTCGAATTATTTATCTTCTCGGAAGCTTCAACTTTGTTCGGTAGGATTGGTACTTTTTTTTTTTTTTTAAACTTTATTTTTCTTTTCTCAAAATCAGATAATTCAAAGCTCAGTATAAATAGTAAAGCTTTACATCAAGTTTCAAATTTGAAATACAATCTAAAAAAATCCGAAAAAAAAAATCTTCTCGGAAGCTTCAACTTTGTTCGTAGGATAATATTAGTACAGTTTTTTTTTAATTTTGTTATTCTTTTCTTAAAATCAGATAATTCAAATCGCAGTATAAATAGTAAAGCTTTAGATCAAGATAAGTTTCAAATTTGAAATAAAATCTAAAAAAAATCCGAAAAAAATAACTGTTTACAACAACATTATTAAACTCGCAACGTCCGAACCGAATCTACATCTCGGGCAATATTTATGATAAATTTGAAGCGTAAATGACTTGTCAAATATCTCTTGTATTTGAATGTACGTAATTTATTTTTGTCAGCGTCAATCAGTTTAGTACTTTTCTTCCTGGTCTATGTTTTTAATTATGAGGGAGAAATGTAATTTTACTTTGGCATAAAATTTTGAATATTTCACTGAATTGTCTTACCAAACTGAATGTCAGCCAACTGATCATGAATGTCAGAAATAGAGAATTACAAATTACAAAAACAAATTGTGCAAAAGAGGGGCAACAAAAGCAATTTGAAGGATTGGATGGTTTGTTTTGATTTTTGTTCAATTTATTCGCAAGGCCRTAGCCATCAGTACAGTCGATCCGGTTAATCGGTCCCTCGTCCATTTTTCCCCTCTTAAAAAAAGTAGGATTAGAGGAAGTGTTTTGCTTTTTTTTAAAAGCCGAACCAATTCCATTAAAACCTCTGTCCAAATGTTGGTTACAGCCCTGATAATTGTTATATCCTATTGTGTTTTTTTTTTTTTTTTGTTTTTGTTTTTTTTGTTTTTTTGTCAATATATATCCATTACATGGAGTACAAAGTTTATAAATTGAAAGCAAATTCCTCTCTAGGTTGTTTTAATGAGAGAATTGGAATGAAATAAATAAATGAATGATAGAATTAATGAATAAATGAATGAAAGAACAATGAACGAAGGAAGGAATAAATGCAATGAATTCATGATTCAATATGAATGAAAAAAAGCTTGGTTATCTAATAAATTAATCCGAAGAATAAAACAATTGAATTGATTAGATGGATGGATGGATGGATGG